TGTGTGTGTGTGTGTGTGTGTGTGTGTGTGTGTGTGTAGAAGAACTGGGGTACAGGCCAGAGATGTGGGGGTGGGAAGATTCACCAGAGATAGAGTGGGGAGCAGAACAGATGAATTTACTGAAATATACTGCTGAGGGGAGACAGTAGGTGAGAGGTCTGCTGTGCTATATGTGGGTTAGGTCCTGGGATCAAACTCAGTTGGTAGTGATAAGAGCACTGAGACTTAACCCCGAGGCACAAGGAAGGCCCAGAATGGGGTTATCATTCCTCCTTAAACATTTTGAACACATAACCTTCCCAGAAAGTATAGGCTTCACTAGAGCTTGTTTTTACAAAGTCCTAAGGAAAGGAACTTTCGCATATGAATTAGTATCTTATGTACTTAATGAATGACGGATTAATTTCTTTGCTAATGTCAATTTTTTATGCCCTAGGTACTTTTAAATTCAATACAGATGCTGCTGAGTTCATTCCTCAGGAGAAAAAAAATTCTGGTCTAAACCATGGGACACAAAGGAGACTAGATTCTAATAGGATCGGTAGAAGAAATTACAACTCACCACCCACCTTTCACCTTACTAGGCAAGTCCCTTATGATGACATCTCTGCTGTTCATCAACACAGTTATCCTTCAGGAAACAAATCTAAAAGTCAGCAGACTTCTTTCCAATCCTCTGCTTCTAATAAAACACTCAAGAGCCATGGCCTTCAGAATCAACATTGGCAGAAATTGAGAAATGAAAAGCAGCATAACAGAGTCAAGAAAACACAAAGCCTCACTGACCAGACCTCAGATACAACTGGCTTAGAAAGCATGGCCAGGTCAGAGAGTGGAACAAACATCAGTGAGCACAGCCCTTCTGAGAGTGACAAGGAAATTGTTGGTGCAGATCCCAGGGGAGCAAAGCCCAAAAGAGCAACCCAGTTTGTACAAAGTTATGGTAGAGGATCAAAAGTCAAGGGGAAACTCAAATGTGATTGGAGTAACAGAATGACTCCAAAACCCGAGGATGCTGGAGTTGAAAATACCAAACCTTTAGGGGTTATCCAACCAGACTCATTGGATACATCCTTCAGAAAAGGAGTATTGGATGGGTATAGACGCAATGAGCAGAGAAAATATCCACAGAAAAGGCCTCCCTGGGAGGTAGAAGGAGCCAGGCCACGGCCACGCCGGAATCCACCAAAACAGGAAGGCCAACGAAATACAAATGCAGGACCCAGAAACAACGTGGTTCCCATTCTAAAGGATAATCTTAATGAAAGACCAGCAAAATCTCCCTGTGACGGTGGGAACTTGGCAGTCGTCAGCAAGTCTTCCAGAAGGGTTGATCCAGAAAAAGGCACTGTAAGGAGACCAGCTCCTCCGGTAGCATCTCCTTTCCTCCGGGGCAAACAGAACCATGTGCTAAAAAATGTGGAAACACACACAGGTATAACTTTGTGTGTTTGTTTTTTTTTTGTTGTTCTTATATTTTGTTTTTATTTTTATTTTTGAATTGGTATTGTAGTCACACGATTTAGAAACCAGAAAGTATAAAAAGCTGCACAGTGAAAATTCTCTTTCTGTGTTTTGTCATCTGCTTGGGCCCTGCCACCATCCAGTCTATAACTCCTGACTTAATTTTTATGTGTCATAAGCAAATACAAATAAAGGATTTAATAAGTGTTTTTTGTTAAACACAGGTGGAGTAGCAAAATTGTTGGTTACAAGACTTTTTTTTTTGAGTACTGAAATCACCAGTGTACTGCGTCTCTGAAATCTAAGTCTGATGCTCCACTTTCTGATCATAGCCTCCAGTCTTCTTGGTGGTTCAGTCTTTTTACCTACTATCAGTTTTGTCTACTTCCTACTATTCTTCATTCCTTCTTCAGGTTGTGCCTATCTTATGTCATTTGAAGTATTATCCTTCTGCCAAGGCACTTGGCAGATCTCATCACTGAGATGAGCTCACAAAGCTCATCTGGGCTCTCCCTGGTGGCGCAACAACAGGTTAGAGTGCACCACTGTGAAGCTGGCTTGGCTGCAGCCACTTCAGCAGAAGTTTGATCCTTGACAGGGAGGTGACCCACATGGCGTGGCAGACCTCTCCTGTGACACCTGCTGCTCCCCTCAGCAGTGTACTTTGTTGATCTGCCTGTTCTGCTCCCCACTCTGTCTCTGGTGAATCCTCTCACCACACCTCTGGCCTGTATCCCAGCTCTGTATTCATAAATAAAAATGTTTAAAGGTTTATTTATTTATGCATATAAGAACTGGGGTACAGGCCAGAAGTGCAGTGGGTGAGAGGATTCACCAGAGACAGAGTGGGGAGCAGAACAGGCAGATGTACTGAAATACATTGCTAAGGGGAGCAGTGGGCAGGTCAGGAGAGGTTTGCCACTACATGTGGGTCTGCTTCCTGGCAGGGGATCGAACTCGTGCTCCAGTGGCTTTATAGAGCTTCATAGTGCTGTGCATTAACTCATTGTGCCACCTGGGAGGGCCCCATAATTAAATGAATGTTTAAAAAAAAAAATGCAGTATCCTACCTTTTTAACTCCATCTGAGTAACAATGCTATTTCAAGAAATCACATAAAAGGGTAGATTTGGTGCTGCCGTAATTCATTTACCTTCTTAAGTGAACTTTCCTCATCTAAGTTGTTTAAAACTATACTGTTCCCCCGTTGCCAGCATTCCCTTTCTTCCTTTCCTGCTTTGTTTTTCTTTGTAGTACTGACAAAATACTACATTTGATGTTACATTTTCATTATTTTTTTTTTTTTAAAAGATTTCATTTATGCGTAAGAACTGGAGTGTAGGACAGAGATGGGGGTTAGGTGGGTGAGAGGATTCACCAGAGACAGAGTGGGGAGCAGAACAGACAGATTTGTACTGAAATACATTGCTGAGGGGAGCAGCGGGCGAGATGGAAGAGGTTTGCTTTGCCATTTGTGTTACCAACCTGGCCAACCAGGGGTTGAATTCATTCTACAATGGCTGGTGGTAGCTTGGTAGCACTGTCTTTAACCCCTGTGCCACCAGGGAGGCCCGTATTTTCATTATTTATTGCCTATTGTCCCCCCACTAGATAATGAACAAGGTAAGGGCAGAAGATTTTGTCTGCTTTGTTTACTTTGTAGTCTTAGTGTTTAAGGAATGCCTGGTACATAGCAGATTATAGGTAATATATTTTTGAATAGTTCCAATTTTTAATAGGTCTCCAATCTCAGATGGCTTTTAACATTGCCCATTTCCTCTTTTTTAACTGTAGTCTTTCCCATTTTTATCTAAGACTACTCCAGGCCTTTTGTGCTCTTACTCATACTTTTCTAGCATCATCCTTTGACCTCAGCAGCCTTCCCCTACCTTTGACTTCTTTCAGAAAGAGTGTGAGGTCATCAGGCACAATTTTTTGAACTTTTTAGTCTATTTATATTAAACTCAGTCATCTATGCCCACTTGTTCTTTTAAGATCTTCCTATTTCCATCAACCTTTCACCTCTACTCAAGTTCTCAACCTTGAGATCCTCCTAAGTCTGTCTTAACCTCCCAAAGACATTGTCCTATTATGTGGCCTCTCAGAGGTGTTTCCTTTTCTTCTATTCCAGTATAATCAACTCATCTATTCTTGTTTACTTTTTCCTATTTGGATTTCTCAGTCCTGTGTCACCATGACCTCATGATTCAGAGCTGATAAGGTCATGAGTGACTTCTGTTTTATCCAGAGTTTAATAAAAAGATGGGGTCTTTTTTGAAATATAATTTTCTTGACTCTTTATTCCTTCACTTAATATTTTTTGAACATAATAATGTGCCAGGCACTGGGAATAATACAACAGTGAGCAAGGCAGACAAGGTTCTATCCCTGTTTCATAGAATTTATAGTCTCAGGATAGTCCATATTTCTTTTGACTTTAAATTAGACAAGGTAACCTTAAGAGAGCTAATATTAATGGGATGATTAAAATGTGAACTTTTGAATCAGATAGCATTGAGTTTTAATTTTTACTTTTTAATTTTATGCTATGATGCTGGGTAGGTAATTCAGTCACTTTAAGTCTCAGTTTCTTTGTGTATGAAGTGGTTCCTATATTATGACCTTGTTAAGAGATTTAAAGAACATGTGATAAGTGTGTTAGCACAGTATCTGGCATGGTGTACTTAAAGGTTAGCTATTTATTCCTGTAATCCATATGGACTTGAGTATATCTATTCAGCTCTGAGAACATATGTCTGTGTTTGGAACCTAAAATGACTTTGCTAAGATCATAGTGAGGAAAAGCCTATAAGTGACTAAAGGTTTTTGAGTACTAAATCTTGGGAGGATCCTTATGATGACACATATTGGTCTCTCTCATTAGATAGTGATCCTTTGCAGACAGGGACTGTGTCTCATTTAGTCTAGTAACCCTACCCTGGGGCTTGTGGTAGGTATCAAGCACTTTTAAGTGAAGACTTTCAAGGCAAACTACATCACCATTTCACCACCACAGGTTGGTGGTGTCCTGTTAGAACTTGTCCAGACTTAGGTCTTTTGTAGCTGACCTCTATAACTTCATGAGCCCTTCCTCTTGCCAGAATCCATGCGTCTGGGAGATTCAGAGAAGGCAAGGCCTTAAGCACACATTGCTCCTGTGGATGCTCAAGCTATTTAACTACTATAACTGGTTTCTGGATAGTTTCTGGGCAATATTTTCTTAATTTTGGGAATCCCTACCTGAATGTCTGCTTCCTAAATACCTTACCTCAGTATATTCCTACCTCTTATCTTCATACTCCAAACAACCAACTTAATGCAGAATCAGACATCTCTTAAAATCTCTGTGTGTTTTTTTTAACAGGTTCTCTAATTGAACAGCTAACTACAGAAAAATATGAATGTATGGTGTGCTGTGAATTGGTTCGTGTCACAGCACCAGTGTGGAGTTGTCAGAGCTGTTACCATGTGTTTCATTTGAACTGCATAAAGAAGTGGGCAAGGTCTCCATCAGCTCAAGCAGGTTAGTCATTTCTCTTTTTTGAGTACTTGATATATTCAGGTTTTGAACTTGTCTTTAAAAATACTCTTTAATTCCTCTTGAATATTTTATCTGCTGAGAATGTTGCCTAGATCACATGTTTCAAATGACCAGTATTAAGCCGTAGACTTTAAATAAACTTGCTAAACATAATGATATTTAAATATTTAGGGTACTATCAATCACTTTTACTTAAAATGGTAGAGAAAATGTTTCTTGTTTAGTTTGTTGAACAAAATTTATAGAAAGCAATTGTTTAACTTAGGATATTGAAGTTATTTTGCCTTTAACAAACCTCCATATTAAATTTTATGGGATTTTCTCAAAATAATATTTGTGGATCTTGAAATGTCATTAATAATATACTTTTGCATGGTAGTTTTTGTAACTTAAGACAGCTGGGATTTCCAGCATGCACTCAAATATTTCTTCTGGTTATTTTTCAAGTCAAAATTCAGATGTTAACCTTGACATTAGAAATAATACAATATTCCCACCACAAAACAAAATGATAATTATGTGAGTGTCAGTTAGTGGTATGGTAGTAATCACAATGTGTTATGTTAATGTCAAATCAACACTTGCACCTTAAACTTACATAATATTATGTCTGGGCCTCCCCAGTGGCTCAGAGGTTAATGTCTCAATGATAGTAAGCTATTACTCAGCTACTGTTGCCTGAGTTCAGTCCCTGGCCAGGTTGGTGATGAACAAGACACAACAGACTTCTCCTGTCTCTCCTGCTCCCCTCAGTAGTGTATTTCAATAGATTTGCCTGTTTCTGCTCCCCACTCTGTCTCTAATGAACCCTCTCACCTCTATACCCCAGTTCTTCTGTAAATAAATAAATAAAACTGTATCTTTAAAAAATGTCAGTTATATTTTAATTTTTTAAAAGAAAGGCATAATAGATATTTGTGTACTTCACTGTATCTGAAGTTCTTAATAAATATTAAATTCAAAGGTGTATTTAAGATTCCAGTAGTGTGAATTTGTTTTATTTTAAAGATTAAAAAAAAAAATTTGTGCATATTAGAACTTGGGTAGGCCAATGGTGCAGGTGCTGAGAAGATTCACCAGAATTAGAATGGGAAGCAGAACAGGCAAATCAACTGAAATACACTGCTGAGGGGAGCAGCTGAAGAGGTCTGCTGCACCATGTGGGTTAGCTCCCTGGTCTGGAATCAAACTCTTATCATAGTAGCTGGTGATAGCTTGATAGCACTGAGACTTTAACTCCTGTGCCACCAGGGAAGTCCCAGTAGTGTGAATTTGTTTCTTAAATGCCTAAAATCCTTAACATAGAAATTACTATTACTACTTCAACATTATGAATTCCTATACATTTAAATTTTTTTAATTATGTATGTGCAATTCAAGACAGACAAATGTGATGCCAATAGATCTGAAAAGAGCTTATCAGTGATTTAAGGTGGTGACTTATATAGAAAGTCATTGAATAACTACCTGTATAACAAAAATATATATACCTGTATATCACCTATGCTTTAAAGGAAATTTTTTGGTTTCCTCTCATTTTTCTTCATAGATGGCCAGAGCGGTTGGAGGTGCCCTGCATGTCAGAATGTCTGTGCACATGTTCCTAATACCTACACTTGTTTCTGTGGTGAGTTTTTGGCATATACTCTTCTACTTCATGCATTATACTTCAATTCCCAGTGGGCATGTTTTAGAATTTACTAGTAAGACTTCAAAGCTACAGGAGTCCAATAAGATACCATATGCTTCTGGCCCACCACACAGCTAAACAGGTCTTTGTGCTCTCAGAAAGCTGTTCCCAAAAGGCCCACTGAGCTCATGCTCATGCAACATCTGAGCTGCAGTGCTGGTCTCCTTGGTCATAGCTTTCGACAGCACTGACTAGATGGCAGAGGCGGGTAGAGGCATAGATGCCTTCTAGTCCCTTGCTGTAGCAGCTTTGATACTACAGATTTGAGGTGTATGGGTAGAGTAGTGTTGAAATAGTGTTTATTTTAATCTAAGAATTCAGTCTCTAGTCTTTATAATAAAAAGAGAGGCTTTTCATAGCCTCTATCCTGTGTCCTCCCTCTCTATGGATACTTCTTCCTGTTTTGAATAGCTCAGTTCCTCCATGTGTTAGGAAAGTCTTTCCGTGATCCAAATGCTCACTCCTGCTGCTAGCCTCCTTCCTGTATGTCCTTTTCTCTGTTCCTTTCTTGTCTATTTTTTAATTGCTAACCATCAACATCTGGTTGTATATTTTGCAGATTTTGTTTGTTAGCCATCTGTGTCCCTTCTTCAATCATTGCATTTTTGCTTCTGTTCACTTTATATCACTGAAACTGTACTTGGAAGTCATTGATTTCCTGGTGTGTTGTATAAGTTTCTAATCTTTTTAGCAGAATAGCCCTTGATACTTTTGCCCATTTTGAAATGATTATGTCTTCATTTTTTTTCCTCTTAGCACTTTTTTTTTTTTTAAGATTTATTTATGCATATAGAACTGGGGTATAAGCCAGAGGTGTAGAGGCAGTGAGAGGCTTCACCAGGGACAGAGTAGGGAGCAGAACAGGCAGACCAACGAGGGGAGCAGTGGGGGAGTTAGGAGAGGTCTGCCACACCATGTGGGTCACCTCTGGGTCAGGGATCATACTCACACTGGAGTGGCTCTGCTAGCTTGCAGTGCTACGTCCCAACCTGTTGCGCCACCAGGGAGGCCCCCCTTATATGCTTCTTATTTGTCTAACTAGTTTGCTTAAACTTTCCCATTACTTAGCAGCTTTCAGCAAGAGCTGGTTATAGACACTCACCTTTTAACTTTTACACTCAATCTATTGGTGAATTTATCTTCTATCCTAGACTGTTCTTCTTTTTCTTAAGTCCTCATTTACCCCAGCATTCAAGATCTGAGGAAGCTTCCCTTTCTAATCCCCTCTCCCACTTTGACCACTCTATTTTGACATGTTTTATTGCTAAAATCTGAGGTATAATAGATAATAGTTAGTACTAACTGAACAAATAAATATTCTCAAATATTTCGTGATGAGGCACCATGAAACTGTAAGCAAAAGATCAGTGGAAATTGGACAAATAGGTTTAATACCAAGATTTAATGACCTTATTTTGAAGGATTTTAAAACAGAAAGCGCCACAATAGAGTTTAAAAATCTTGTTAAAGCCTTCATTGACAAATTAGAGATGAGATCACAAGAAGGCAGAAGAATGTGGAGTAATGGTCAAGATGATCTGAGAAAGATAAAATCATGTGGGAATGAAAATATGGTCTTATTTTGCTTGATGATTTTTGCCCCCCTCTACTCTTCTTGGAGACAGTAAATTTATTTTGTCAAAGAACTTATTAATGTGTCAGACGTGGTGAAGAAACAGAGGAGTAAGACTTATTTTTTGATGTTCTCCTGAAAGTATCATGAGAGATAATTGGTGTTGAGTTAGGATTTCTGACTGAAAGTCTTTAGCGAAGAAGGCCAAATTGAACTGTGCTTTAAAAATTAGGTGAAATCTTGTAGGAGCGAAAATGTATTGAAGAGAATGGCATTAAGAGAAGTTTAAAAGCAAGAAAGCTCAGGATACAGGGCCCTGGCCCTGGTTGCGCAGCCGGTTAAAGGACAGCACTGAGAAGCTAAAGCCACTTCAGTATGAGTTTGATCCCTGCCTGCCCTGGAGGTGATACACATGATGCAGCAGACCTCTCCAGACTAGCCTGCTGCTCCCTCAGCAGTGTACTTCGTAGTCAGCCTGTTCTGCTCCCCATCTGTCTCTGGTGAAGCCTCTCACTGCTCTTGCACCTTGGGCCTGTATGCCAGTTCTGTATGCATAAATAAATACATCTTTTAAGAAAAAAAAAAAAAAAAAACAAGAAAGCAGGACTCATCCATTTATGGGAGCCAGGGTCTGTGAGGGTAGAAAGTGGGAGATGACTGAAAAGGTGGGACTGATTTATTCCAGTCCCGTTAGATTTGGGGACTTCATTTGGCAGACTGTAGGAAGCCACCAAAGGCATTGTATGATTCTTCATGGAGACTGCTGGCAGTGAGCAGAGTATTTGGGGGCCTAAGAATTTGGGAACTTGTTGTAACCCAGGTAAAGAATAATAATTTAATGGACCTAAAGGAAGTGATAAAAGATTTCAAAGGTAAGGAGAAATTAAAAGCAGTGAGGAAAGGGATGAGCCCAAATGCTCATTGTCTTTTAATTTTGGAAACAGTGAATACCAGGACAGAAAAGTCAAGTGAAATAAGTTTGGTGGGGACTGAGATTTAGGAATGATGAGTTGGAGGAGAAAAACGTCCTTTCAGAAATGTCCAATAGGCAGCTAGAATATGTGAAGAGAAATCAAGACTCATGCTAGTCACAGTTGATAATAGTGGAGGAGACCTTTATGGAGAAGGAGTTAGGAGTGAAAACAGGCGTAATACAGAACCCTGTTTGAATAACATCATCGAGAGTTAGGGAGGGGAGTAGGAACACTTGAAAAATGGTAGGGGGAAACTGGGGCACTGTTTTGGAGCAGGAAGCTTTTCAAATAGTTTGGAGGTAAGGTTCTGTCCAGGAGAGAGGCAAGAGCAGGAAGAGAAGGGGAGCTGAGATCACTTAGGAAAATTGACAAGATTCACTGAGTAGAAAGAAAAAAAGAGTCAAGGAAAATTCTGGTTTTTTAGTTTGTGCTGACAGAAATAGGGAACACTGAGAGGAAAACATACTAACTTTGGCAGGTAGGCAGTTTAAGGTGACTGAAACTCCAGCAGACAGTTGGACATGTGGGACTGAAACTGAGCAACCAAGTCAATGCAGGAAATGTACGTTTGGCAGTCTTTGGCCTGGCAAGTATTGAGCTTCTCAACATGAATAAGATTTCTGAAAGAAAAAAAAAAGAAAAGCCAAGACTTAGAACTGGGGACAGACTGTCATTTAGTAAATGAAAGCCCAAGTCAGGCTTCATCTTGGTCTTTTTGCCTCTGTTCTGAGTTCACAGAAGACTGCTTACTAGAGATCTGTAGGGTGACATTCACCATAAAGGTGTAGCCCTTTAGAATAGGTAGCTTTAGAATAAGTAGATCCCTACTATGCAAGGGGTTTTATCCTTTCTCTTGCTGGCTCTTCCCCCTCTCCCCCATTATTCTCTTTCCTTATTCCCTTTTTGATCTTTGCAGTAGATATTTCCATGTCCAAGGACTGAAAAAGATTTACCTTGTATGTTTTTTTTTTAATTCAGATAAAATATGTCCATTAGTCAAAGTGGTATTTTGATAAGTAAAATGACTTTTTATTATCTTTTCCAGGTAATCCAGAATTTAAAATGTCTCATACTCAATGAAGCTTTTGAGTAATAGCATTATATTCATCTTTTTATTTTAGAATGTGGAATAATGTGTGTGTTCAACTAAAGAAAACCAAACTGAAGTTTCATCTTGCCTAACTATATTGAATTGTTTGAGTAGAGGGTGCATTTGAACTTTGGATTATTGACTTGCTGATCTGTTATATTTTAGGCAAAGTAATGAATCCAGAATGGAGCAGAAATGAAATTCCACACAGTTGTGGTGAGGTTTGTAGAAAGAAACAGCCTGGCCAGGACTGTCCACATTCCTGTAACCTGTAAGTCCGAATACTGGAGCCTTGGGATTCCTGGTGGACCCACTGCTGATGGCTTAGAGTACATGTATCTGGTTATCTTATGTTAGGACAAAGTGTCAGATAACATGGTATCATTTGTTGAGCACTTACTCTGTAGTAGGCACTAAATCTTTACAGCACTCCCGTGCAGATAGATATTTGTCATCTCCTCTTTAGAGATGAGGCTCAGGAGACAAACATTTGTCCAAGGTGAAGCTGGGCTTCCCAAAACCTGAGCTGCTCTCATTATATTACATTACTGGTTTCTAAGAAAAAAAAAACTACTTCCCAGTTATTTCCAGGCCCATGAGAATGTACAAGCTGACTTCTCTCTGAAGAACGGCAATGTCTAGGGCTTTGTGGGCAGCATTTTTAGTATGTTCTGCTAAGTTTTAAAATCTCTCTGTCCATTTCTAAAACAATAGGAGAAATGCACAGGAATAGAAAAACAATTGGTTAGTCATAAATAACACATTTCTACAGACTTTGACCTCAGGTGAAGGTTTAGACTGGTTTTGAATCAGTTTCTCTAAACTTCAATGCCTCCATCTTCTAAATTATGATACAAATAACAATACTTACAGAGTTCTATGAGTTTTTAATTTATATATTAATGCAACTAAGAGGCTTGGTACAGAACCTGGCACATGGTAAGTGCTCAAAAATGGTAACTGTTGCTTTTTATTACCCAAAACACATCAGAGTGCCATGTGCATGCTTCTATTGCAGGCAAGGGTAAATATTGGGTAGAAGTGTTATGCTGGAGATGTGGAGGTGATGCTGGTTTATGGTGAGTGGGGAAGGAACTATTTAGACTGAGCTTAACAGCATGGCCTGCAACCTGCTAGGAGCCCCTCCCCTTCCTTTAACAGCTTCCATAGATCTTTCTCTATTTAAATTGTTCCTTCCCTGAGTTAGCATTTTAAGTAACTTTAGTAACCCTCTGTGTGAACTGACTCTGAAGCCTTCAGCAGAAGTGGACCCCTGTGTGACTACCAGAGAATATCAAGTTATGCAGATTAAAGAGTCAATACCAGGTCTGAAGAAATAAACTAAAACTACTTTGTGGTTCTGGAAACCCAGTTCTTGGTTGGGAACTATCCTTTTACTCTTTCAGGACTGTGGAGATGGCTGTAACTGTTCCATGACAGCACCTTCCTTTTAAAAACAAAAAGCTCTGTGTTTTTCTACTTACCACGACTCAGAAGCCAGAGTTGGCCCCTTTGTCTCACTATTGTGGATTGTTCTCATAGATTATAAAATAATCTGGAACATTTGTTCTCAACTCTGGCTACATTAGAAGCATTTAGGGAGCATTTTGAAGTTCAGGTGTATAATTTCCATCTTAGAGCAGTAATCTCTGGGGGTTAGATTTTGAGCATCTATAGTTTTAAGATTTCCAGATCATTCTACCTTGTAACCATACTGCAAGCCACTGCTCTCTAATCAAGGATATTTGAAATAACTTGGAGTCATCTGTTCCTGACCAGTTTATTAGTCATTCTAAAGCTGTGAAATGTGAAAATATTTTCACCTAAAGGGTTAATTAAGGTGTATCATATGAAACATAATAAAGTGATACTGGTTTTTAAAGACACTTATCTTTAAATTTATGTCTTTTATAGTTTCTCTATCAAATTGGGTCATCCTAGAAAACTAGGCACTTCTACCTAGGTTGTTTTCAGTGTTTAAAGCTTATTTAGGTATTAGCAGAGCTGGCTTGAAAGTCATATTTAAAAAATCCAGCCAGACCACTTCATAGGTACACCTGGTTTTTATACCAAATTCTGATATCTGCTTGTTTAAGTAGTTGTACCAGTGTGTGATTTCCCAGGCATCTGCACTGAAGAGGAATATATAAATACACATCAAAACTCCTATGAAAAACATTCTGTTCAGAGGTCTAATCCTATCCCATATCACTAAGGCCAGTTCTTTCCATGAGTCCTTCCCCTTTGTTTTCTTCCCTTGTTTCCAGGATGTTTTCATTCACTTAGTGTTCTTTTCACATTTTCCATTATTAACTCACCACCTGTTATTTCATTAACTGATGAGAAAATGTCTGTACTTCTCATAGACCTAGTAGATTTGAGCACTGCTACTTTTGTTCGGGTCCTAATCATCTGAAGGACTCAATTGACCACCCTGCCATTGACCTGTGTGCAAAACTGCTTTTATCCCTGTACTTTGCTCTCAGTGAACCAAAACTATGTTTGAAATGTCATCTTGGACTGTCAAACCCAAAGAAAACTAGTGTTTTGACATGGATTTTACTTTCCTATTTTAACTATTTTAAGATGATAATGCTGTAAAAACATTGTTGATTGCTTAATCAACCTTAGGCAAATATTAGAACATTTGTTGTCATACTCACAGTAGAACTCAGGGCAGCTTTGTTCAGATTTTGATATATGGGTATGATTTATTCATTGAAGCCTTTCTTTTTTAGTCTCTGCCATCCTGGACCTTGTCCACCCTGCCCTGCCTTTATGACTAAAATGTGTGAATGTGGACGGACCAGGTAAAGTTTGATTACACTTTAGGGCATGTTTCATTTCCACATTGATGACTTACATGGTAATTTCTAAAACAAAATACTAGTTATGAGCTTAAAATTAATGGTAGGTCTGACTATCACTTCTCTGTAAATAGCAATTTTCTTTGCTGCCCCAATCCCATTTTATAGTCTTAAAAATTATATTACTGATTTCCTAAGCCAGAAAGAAAAGGACAAATATCGGATGGTTTCACTCATAGCAGGAGTATAATGGACCAGGCAAGAAAATAATAATAATAATAACAACAGCTATATAACAAAGACATTTTATGGGAATGGAATAGGGAATGGGATCAAAAACAGTTGGGGGAGGGAAATGCACTGAACTATGGTGATGGTACATGGGTGATTTGGTGATGAGAAGCCCAGGGGACTACAACTGAGATTAAAAAATGCACAAAATGATGTAAAAAGAAACTATTATGTATATTTTTTAAAAATTATATTACTCATTTCTGATGAAATGCCAGGTAACAGACCTTTTTTAAAACCTCTCCAGTGGGTGAAGGGACCAGGAATTGAACCCAGGTCGAGGGGCTGGGGTAATTTACCTGTGCCTAACAAAACATCTGATATTGAGAGGACTTATTGAATGTTGTTGAAGGAAAGAATAAGTTACCCCAGCTGAGAATAAGGGATAGAGTAAAACTCTTCTTTGAGAAGAGTAGACTTCATACTCTATAATCTGTTAACCTGGAATGATATCTAAAGACAGTTATTGAAAAGCACTGGCCTCATACCTTTTTCTAGTAAGGTAAGTCACAAAATCAGAATATTTATTAGAACAAAGCCAGATTGATTGGCTTGTACTGACCTTAGATATTAGAGCTGCATAAAATGCCAAAGTGCTATGTCCCAAAGAATCTTTAGTGCTTTCAGTCTGAATATGTAATTATAACTACCTTGCCCTCTCCCTCGCCTTTCCCCAACCCAAAATAAAAAAGCCCAACTGAAAGATACTGTGGGAGCACCAGACTTTTCCCTTCCTAGAGACTGCTTCAGTAGAATTCAGAAGAAATCACATATACCAGATACTTAGGAATAGCCTCCATTCCTCACTGGTCAGAAAATAAAAGAGAGGATGGCAGGAGGGGATATAAGAAAAGCAAAGGAGGAAAAAGAATGGAGAATGGGAAAATAATTGAGGAAGAAAAGATTAGAGAAGGGAAATGTAAAGATAAAGTTGGAGAAAAGTAGCCAAGAGAGGTTTAATAGGTTTTGGGCTTCATTGTTAGTTTAGCTGTCCAATAGGAACTGAATGTTAGACTAATGCTGTCTTTACATCATTGTCTACAGGCACACAGTTCGCTGTGGTCAGACTGTTTCAGTCCACTGTTCTAACCCATGTGAGAATGTTTTGAACTGTGGTCAGCATCACTGTGCTGAGCTGTGCCATGGGGGTCAATGCCAACCTTGTCGGATCATATTGAACCAGGGTAAGTAGGGGACCCACCAACCATCAGTACTTGGACACTTTTCGAGAACTTTATTTATGGTTGTCTCTATGATATGATTGCTCTCAAACTTAGGACAAAGGTTCTCTTGGCTCTGGTACCTGGGGTAGAGTGAACTGGAGATCATTAATGCTTAGATGCTCTTCATTTTAGTTATGTAAAACTAGCATATGGGCCCTCCCTGGAGGCACGACAAGTTAAAGCACAGCTCTGTGAAGCTATCTGTAGCCACTGCGCACAAGTTCGTTCCCTGGCCAGGGAGGTGACCCACATGGCATGGCAGACCTCTCCTGACTCTCCCACGGCTCCCCTAAGCAGTGTTTTTCAGTCAGTCTGCTAGTTCTGCTCCCCGCTCTGTCTCTGGTGAATCCTCTTACCCTTTCCCCAACCCCTGTACCTCTGGCCTGTGCCCCAGTTCTGTATATATAAATAAATAAATAAATATTAAAAACCAGTATACATCATTGTCCTATAGGATTTGGACTGTGGATTTTTATTTATTTTTTTTTTAAGATTTATTTATTTATGTATACAGAACTGGGGTACAGGCCAGAGGTACAGGGGTGGTGAGAGGATTTACCAGAGACAGTGAGAAGCATAACAGATTGATGAAGTAAACTGCTGAGGGGAGCAGCAGATGAGACAGGAAAGGTCTGCTGCGCCATGTAGGTCACCTCCCTGGCGGGGATTGAACTCGTGCTGAAGCGGCTGTAGGCAGCTTCAGAGTGCTGTGCGTTAACCCAATGCACCATGAGGGAGGACCCCAGACTGTGGATTTTTAAATGTTTAAGAATAACTTCTTGGGATTCTTTTTTACATAACATTTTAGTTGAAGTGGCATTATAATGACATTATGTAAGTTTCAACTGTTCACTGTTGAAACTCATTTACTAAGAAAAGTTCACTGCTAAAAGTTTAGCTTTATCCTTCACCACACCATTTTCCTCGTGGGAAATTTTTAAGAAGTAAATACAAGAAAAAAGACTTACAAAGGTACAAATAATCTTGAAAAAGAACAACATTAAAAAGCTTAAACCAGGAACTCCCTAGTGGCGCAACAGGTTTAAAGCACAGTACTATGAAGCTTTTACAGCCACTGCAGCACTGAGTTCGATCCCTAGCCAGGGAGCTGACCACATGGGTGGCAGACCTCTCCTATCTTGCCTGCTGCTCCCCTCAGCAATGTACTTTTGTCAATCTGCCTGTTCTACTCCCTACTCTGTGTCTGGTGAATCCTTTCACCCCGCCCACCTCTGGTCTGTACTCCAGTTCTGTATGTATAAATTTTAAAAAATTAAAAAAAGTTTAAACCACCTGACTGCCAGACTTATGAAGTAACAGTAACAAGTGGTTTTTAATGTACAGATAGTCTACTAGATTTATGGAAGAGATAATAGGCATAACATGTAATACATACAGTCTGTTGATATTCAGCCAAGTTGTAAGTTAATTTAGTGAAAGAGGAAAATCTTTTTTTTTTTTTTTCAATATAATAGTTTATTTTTACATTATTTTGTGCCTTTTCCCATCTCAGTTGTGATCCCTGTGGGCTTCCCATCACCAAACCACCGTGTGCCACCACTGTAGTTCAGTGCACTTCTGGAAAATCTTTTTACAAAGGTTTCTAGAATCAAGTATATGTATGAAGGAAAATCTCAGTCAGTTAACTCTTCATGGATCTTTAAGTTAAATGTAAAACCAGGAAACATAAAGCACCATGAAACTGGGAGAATAGTTCCATGACTAGGTTAGGCAGATTTCTTAAAGCAACTAAACACTAACCATAAAAAAGAAAATTAACTGTTGTTCAGTGGTACTGTTAAGTAAATGAATAAATTGTAGGTTATTCTAGAATACAGTACCCATAGAAACTAACACCAGCAACAAAAAGAATAAGTCATTTAAACACTGAGTGAAAGACTTGACCAGATACTTCACAAAGGAATATCTATAAATGACTTACCAATGCATGAAAGGTGCTTAAACCCATTAGTACTGTGGAAATGTAAATTAATTAAAACTGTAGTAAGGGTCCTCCCTGGGGCACAGTGTATTAAAGCACAGCACTATGAAGCTGTCTGCAGCCACTGCAGCATGAGTTCGATTCCCAGCCAGGGAAGTGACCCACATGACGTGGCAGACCTCTCCTGACCTCCCCACTGCTCCCTTCAGCAGTGTATATCAGTAAATCTGCCTGTTTTGTTCCCTACTCTGTCTCTGATGAATCCTCTCACCCCCAACCCCCCGTACCTCTGGCTTGTGCCCCAGTTCTTGTATACATAAATAAATAACGTCTAAAAAGTAAAGCTATAATAATAGTGAAAAATAATATAGCCACATAGTCTAATTAAACAATCTAATAATATAACCACTTAACAGTCTTAGCAGTTCCTTAAAAGGTTATAAACATGGAAATACCATGTGGCCCAACAATTCCATTCCTAGGCATATACCCAAGACAGATGGAAATATATGGCCACACCAAACTTATAAATGGACATTCAAAACCACATTTTTCAAATTGTAAAATTGTGGAAGCAATGCAAATGTCTTATCAGCTGTGATAAAATTTGGTGTGTCACGAAATGGAATATCATTCAGCCATAGAAATAGAATATTGATACATACTACAAAGTAGGTAAATGTCCAGAACATTATATGAAGTGAAAGGAGTCACAAAGGACTGTGTACTATATGACTGCCCTTATCCTGCAGGGATCCTGTATGGCCAGATGTACCACTGCCCTATAGTTCTGTGTTTTTCTTTAATGCATACAGAACTGGGATACAGGCCAGATGTGCAGGAGTAGTGAGAGGATTCACTAAAGACAGAGTGGGGAGCACAGCAGGCAGATTGACGAAGTACACTGCTGATGGGAACAGTGGGCAAGACAGGAGAGGTCTGCTGTGCCATGTGGGTCACCTCCCTGGCCAGGGATAGAACTCTTGCTGAGGCAGCTTTGTAGTGCTTCACTTTAACCCATTGTACCACCAGGGAGGGCCCCACTGCCCTATAGTTTTTACTTTGGTTTGATGATATTGATGTTTGTTTCAATTACCAAAAAACAGACCTGTGAAATGTTCTGTGGTGTGTGGTGTAAGAATTTTTTTTTTTATTTTTTTAAAGATTTATTTATTTATTCATACAGAACTGGGGTACAGGCTAGAGATGCGGAGGGTGAGAGGCTTCACCAGAGACAGAGTGGGGAACAGAACAGGCAGATCAACGAAGTACACTGCTGAGGAGAGCAGCGGGCGGGTCAGGAGAGGTCTGCCTCGCCATGTGGATCTCCTCCGGGACAGGCGGGAATCGAACTCATGCGGAAGCGGCTTAAGCTTCTTAGTGCTGTGCTTTAACCCGCTGCGCCACCAGGGAGGGCCAGTGTGGTGTAAGAATTTTATGTAAGGAATGTGTTGCATGTTACTCAGTGTTCTCTTTATGAACACTTCTTCTTGTGAGAAGTTCCAGTCTGGTCTTAGTTATAAGACTATTGTTCTCTTTCCTCCAAACTATTGCTTTCTTTTTATTTAGGAAAATATGTATAATTGACCTAGTATGTATCTTTACAAGTCAATATTTATGATTCATTATATATCCTTGCAGTTTTCTATCTTTTAATATATTTCATATATCCTTACATATTGCCTCAAATTCAATTTAAGATAAAGCATTAGTTAGGTATATACTGGCATTTGGTCTTGGTGTAGACTGTGTTGTGAGAAAGTCTCTTTGATCTACACCATTTTCAGCTCTTCATTCATGTTGGTCTTTTTTGCTCAGCTAAATTGCCCAGGTCTTTTTCATAGAAATTTATACAGATCACAGTCTGTTCCTTTTTGGCTTTGTGTAATTGATCTTTTGAAACTCAAGAAAGTTTTTTTTCTTTGGTCACAGAAAATAGTAATGTGTTTTGGCCTTAAGTATAGTTTATCTTCTTAAATTGTAACTCCCCTAGGGTCTCTCTCTCTCTCTTTTTTAAAAGATTTATTTATTTGTACATACAGGAACTGAGGTACAGGCTAGAGGTGCGGGGGTGGTGAGAGGATTCACCAGAGACAGAGTGGGGAACAGAACAGGCAGATTGACAAATACACTGCTGAGGGGAGCAGCAGGCAGTACAGGAGAGGTCTGCCACGCCATGTGGGTCACCTCTGTGGGTGGGGATTGAACTCAAATTGAAGGGGCTTGGTCTGGCTTCACAAAGCTGTGCATTAACCCATTGCGCCACCAGCGAGGGCCCCTGCAGAGACTGATTTTTAAGGAGATAGACATGTGAGTTGATGAAAATTAATCCATATCAGACCTCATCACATATTAATTTGTCAGAACCATAACTCCTTAAACTTAACACATATCGATTGTTGACCTCAAGAAATAAAGGGATAGCAGGTGACTCCAAGATACTGAAGAAATTTGATTGTACACAAAGTCAACATTATTTCACACAAAGTCAGACAAAAAATGCCTGCAATCAAATAATTTCTGACTTAGTAAAAGAAAGTCAACCTATTTCTCAGTCAGTGATGTAAATGTCATAGATAATATAAAATTAAAATCAGTAGTGGCAAGAATTGTAAGGTTATCCTTAGTGTAGCAGTGTGGTACAGAAGAGATTGTATTTGACATATGCCTTGTAAAGTTTACTTAAGTATGGAATTAAATAAATTAGTAAAATAAATGATTCATTCTTTCCTCTTTATGTGCATACATATGGATTTTTCTTGTTTATAATAATAGTTTCTTTAAAGGCAGGAACACAATGCATATCCTAAATTAAAAATAGATTATAAGGGCTCTCCCTGGTGGCACAGTAGGTTAAAGCACAGCACTAAGAAGTTAAAGCCACTTCAGCATGAGTTCAATCCCTGCCCCTTAGGTGATCCACATGGCACAGCAGACCTCTCCTGACCCACACTTTGCTCCCCTCAGCAGTGTACTTCATCAATCTGCCTATTCTGCTCCCCACTCTGGTGAATCCTCTCACTGCCCCTGCACCTCTGGCCTGTACCCCAGTACTATATGGATAAATAAATCTTTTAAAAAAGAAAGAAAGGGAATCTGTTATTTCTTCAGCCCACAGGAATAACTATAGATACCAGACTGGATTCTCTTCCTAGCAAATAAAAGTTTCACATTATTTGAAACATTTTACTAAGTGTAAATATGCAAGC